GTTTTAAATCATTTATAGATCATTTATAAAAAACATAAATGCTGTTATTGCAGACTAGTTAATGTTCTACTTGTATTTATTTATAATACTAATTTTTTATATTGAATCTTTAATCTATGAACATTTTTGACAAGTACGTTATATCTGAGCAACTAACAAAACATTACAACTAAATTCCATGAGTAAAAAGTGTTTATATTGGATTTAATGTTTTACAAACTCATGAATAACTTTTTTATGAAACAGTAATAMATCATTTATAACAGATTCTTATGAGGAAGAGGCTTCAAAACAAAACCTGATGCAGATAATAAAATATTTTGTGATAATCTCTGAAACTGAAGTGAAATCAAGCTGCTGACAGGTGCAAACAACAAACCTCTGCCTCACTTCAGGATCCTTTCATTTGATTTGACTGAAAACTGAAAAAGAATGAAAAACAAAGCCCTGAACAACGAGCTGCTCATGGTGACTCTGACAGGTTTCTGTCTGATGTAGCAACAAACAGCTGGTGTTTGGAGCCTTTAGGGTTTTAGGGTTTTGAGGAGCGGACTCCGAGCTGCTACGACATCTTCCTCCTCCTCTTCCTCCTCCTCCTCCTCCTCCTCCTCCTCCAGAGAACATCCTTGAACCGAGCCACAGCTTTTCCTTTTCTTCTTCTTGTGTTTTTGCTGCACTCCTGTAAATACTCACTGACGTTAGAGAAGCTTGTTCTTTCAGTCTGTCAGACGTGAAGAACACCTCCACTSGTCACAAACTGCAGCCCCGAGGCTGAAACACTGAAGAATCAAAGCGTCTCATCGTTTCCTCTCTAAGAGTCACGTTAAAGATTGTACACTGGAGCATTCTGCCGTACGTTAGTTTAGCTGTGTGAAACCTGAGCAGGTGTGTCGGCTCGCTGATTTTCTTCTTTGACTTTTTGTTCTGATGGATTCATGCAAACAGGAGCAGTTTAAACATCATAGATTCAAAGATATTTATACCTAATAATTTTCATTCTATCTTACTGCTCATTTTAGAGGACAAATAATGTTCACTTATTAAAGTTTAGTTGTCTTTCTACAGAATAGAGAACATAGATATACTGTAAGAATTTCTAAAAAAAAATACAATGTTTTTATTGTGGTATTATTTGTATTTCAATTTTTGTATCAGACTGTGAACGACTGTCGGCTCGTGAGTGTGTGTGCGCGTGTGTGCACAGGTGTGTGACATGCATGTGAGCGTATGTTTTCACCCCCCCCGCCTGAATCACTGGAATCAGTCACAAAGACGACCTCAGTTTGAAACACATCTGTGCTGTTAGGAACGCAACAATAAAAGTCCTCTCCTTGTACAGCAACCAGCTGCTGTCTTTCTTCACAGACTTTGATTTATTGACACAATGGTCCTACGACCAGGGGCAGAGCCAGGGGGTGGCCAGGGGGTGGCCATGGCCACCACAGACAAATCTTTGGCCACCCCATTGGCCACCCTGCTGTATACACGCCTTCCACAGTGAAACAACCTTTAGGGGTGTAATAATCCTCCTGAACAGTTGGTGGCAGTGATTAACAGTTTGAAACATCACCAAGCTCTATGACTGAAGAAGAGTAATGACAAGGAAGTGATAGTTTTCTTCTTTTCTTTTGGCTGTGTCCAAAACGACAGGCCGGGTCCTCCGGAGGACCCAGACTCCCCGGTCTCGGCGGG